GATTAAAATATAGGGTAACAGACTGCCCTGCCCAGGACCACCAATGTCCATGGAAAAACAGAAACCAAAGCTAGGTTGTGAGTAAAAAAAAAAAGGCAAACATTCCTTTGCAGCCTTTGTGTGCTGGAAATTAATACATCTCAGATCTGGAATTACCAAGTAGGCACTTCGATGCACTGATGAAAATTCTAGTTTCGGTCTCCTTTAGACCCAGTCTTCTCCATAGGCAGTCATGTAGAAGACAGGGGCTAAGTAGTTTTTTATCATCCAACCCTATACAATATCCACTCCCTACACAGCATCATGGCTCCCCGAAGGCAGTGGGGGCTCGGTATGTGGGGACCACCACACCGGGTCTATAACAGATGTGTAAACAGAGAGGAAACACTGGCCCTCCAGTCGAATAGCTGAAAGATGAGATCGCTCCACTTTGCCCCTCACCCAACCTCCCACCTGCCAAGAACCTTTAAAGAAGAGCCCCAAAAAAATGAAGATAGAAACCAATGAAGACAAATGGCTCTTTTTCCTAACCAAGCTGGCTAGCTGTGAGGAAGAACGAGAAACACAGAAAGCAAATAAATTCTAAAAGACCTCCAGGTTTAAGAGAAGCTTATAAAGCCAGGCCTCAAGGAGATTTTAATTTTAAAAAATCAGACACCTATGAGATTGATAGGCAGAGTTAATATTTTTTTAAATCAGATACTACAGACAGGATAGCTGGAAGATCATTTTCTACCCTAAAGATAAATTTGAACTTGCTCTGCTCAAAGGATTTTATAAAGCTTAATTTTAAAAGGGCATATGTACATTTTTATCACTAATTTTCATGTGTATAAATTTTAACATTGGATCTTAACTGATAAAAATTTCAATATTTAGTTTCCCCCAAATTCCAAAGAAACTGTCTAAACAGGTTATTAAAGCTTCTTGGTTCCTTCTGTAGTTTATACGAAACAAGCTTGCACTTGCACTTAGTTCTGATATGTGATCACAAGAAAAGGCAGTAAGAGGAAAGGCATCCATTCTAGCAGGCAGTGATGTGCATTCTTCCTGTAGTGACAGTGACCTTATCCATCCACGCCAATGCAACCATCCTAAGTAAGAATCGTGCAACTGACAGAAACTAAGAAGAAATTTGTAACTGTAAGGCAAAAATATTTTCTTTAAGAAAACTGGCTGGCTCTTAAAAAGAGTAAAATCACTGCAGGAACCTCATTAGACTAAGGCTCTAATCAAGTAAATCATGCGGTCACTCGGGAACGCCAGAAGTCCCCTGTTACGTGAGTACACAGATACAGCACCGAATAAGCAATGTCATTCCGAGTTCCCTACCGCTCTGGCACTGTCAGTGGGGTTGCTGCACTGAAATGCTCTACTCCTAGTGTCTTGGGAGGCACAGCCACAAGAAGCCTCCCTCAAACTCTGTCCTTTCCTCATCTCCACTACTGGTGCATTGGGCCCTTCTCTTCTTGTTCCCCTGTACCAACTGACAGTCCTCCTCTCACCCCTTTCTAAACTCTACCTCAGGGAGCCCTGGACACCAGCACCCTTCCCCTCACCACCACCTCCCAGAGCCCATTCAGGAGTATAGACATTGGGGCAAGGGAGGGGAGTCTTCCACTGCATGGGTCTGCAGCACTGAAATGGGAGAGATGAGTCCTGGAAGCCTTGCTTGAACCATTTCCCCAGAGAAACAATTACAAAGAGTGGTTAAATTCCACTGTACCATCAGTACAACACTTCAGCTATATTACAGATTACAGGGGCTTTTATAGCCATCCTGGGAAACTCATCTATACAACGTTGTTTTTATGGGAAAAACATAATCAGCCATTTACAAAACTTTGAAATTCAATCCCATTCATAAAATGAATGCTGCCTATATACAGTTCATGCTCCGAAGAACCTTTAGGCCTACTTTCAAAATAACTAAGAGCATACAGATGAGGTCTGTATTTCCTTAGTCAGGTTTGTTATTCAATACCTAACAGTAAAGCTGGCAAATACAATAGAAAATAAAACGCTTTTTACTACTAACTCATCTCATATTTATTCTTAAATCTACTATGTAAAATCCTCCTATCCCAAATGAGCATTATATTATGTACATAACCTAGATATACTCTTAACAATTTCAAAGAACAGCATGGGAATGTACCTTCACATATTCTCTCTGCAACATGAATTTAATAATATCCGTTATTGATTCTTTAATATCAGCAGGAAGATTCTGAAAAAAAAAAAGAAGAAGAAATTTTGGAAGCTACTATGTATAGTAAAAAAACAGACTGCATTTATTCTCAATTTATACTGTATTTTTTAAGTCAGTTAAAAAAAGTATTTTCCAAGAAACCTCACCCTTTTCCGTAGCTTTCTGAAAAGTGGTCTGAGGTAGGACTCGGTCTGTTTCTGGGTCGCACTGTTCAGTTTACCCTGCACACTGCGTTTCACATAATCTTCTCTGGCATTCAATTCTTTAGCCCAAACGCCAAGAAGAAACTGTTGAAAGGATGGGTAAGTTTAGACTACAATGCCACCCAGTGGTTCAGTAAATTTAAATGCTCTCTAGCACACAAAGACAGAATACAATCATCCTTAAAGTAAATGTCTTGATTAAAATGCCACCAAATAATATAGAATTAATAAGCTAGTTCTGCTTATTCGTCATGATAATGCTTTGAAGTAGTACCTTTGGCAAGTCACCCTAGTCTACATCTATTCCCAGCTCAAGGTAATTTGCTTCCCTCAAAAAAGAACTATCAAGTTTCACAGTTAACTATTTGACAGGAAATAAACTTGTATTTGTATTTGTATTACATACATAAAATTCAACAAGTTACAAGTTACAAAAAAACTGGACTTTCTACATATGCTGTAGAGACCATGATTAAGTTTAAAAACCACTCAAGCACCTGACTAAAGGAGAGGAAGAAGAAAGAGAAACAGAAATACAGAAGCCAAGACCCAGCATTCCCACCTCCACCCCTGGAGAACTACCTCGTGGCCCTCGGGTTTAACTGTATAAAGGGCACCCTTTCTGGAAGTAGGAAACAGAGAAGCCTGACGAGGATGTTTTCCTCTAGGCACATCATCTATGCATATCCTATAAAAGAAGAGGCCATCATTCAAAGAGGAAATTCTAGTTCATACTAGTTCCTATGCCCTATCTAGTTCCATGCCGTATCCTCAATATATTCAGAATCTTGATGACTAATATGTTGTATCTAAACGGTACATACAAGAAAAAGCATTCACTGCATGTAAATCTCTTGGTCTGAACACAGTTTGTGAATAAACATTAAAATATCTGGGATTTGTTCACACTCTACCTAGACCACTAAAGAGAGAAATGTTGAGAAGAAAGTTGGAATCAGCAAGTCATAGCAAAAACAGGAGTTATCTGTAGAAACGAAGAAATGCACACTCTCTGAAAGGTTACAAAAAAAAACTAAACAATTAGCTGGGCGTAGTGGTACATGCCCTACTACTCGGGAGGTTGATGAGCCCAGGATTTCAAGGTTACAGCGAGTTATGATGACACCACTGCACTCCAGTCTGGGCACCAGAGAAAGACCCTTTCGCAACAAAAAAAAAAAAAAAAAAAAAAGGCTAGAACCCTCTTCTTCCTTAGGTTATCTAAAAAAAAATAAGAAATTCAGCTGGACACTGTGGTTCACACCTGTAATCCCAGGACTTTGGGAGGCCAAGGCAGGGAGATCACTTGTGGTCAGGAGTTCAAGACCAGTCTGGCCAATAGGGTGAAACCCTGTCTCTACTGAAAAAAACATATATATACACATACAAAAATTAGTCAGGTGTGGTGGCATGCTACTCGGGAGGCTGAGGCAGGAGAATTGCTTGAATTCGGGGAGCAGTGGTTGCAGCAAGCCGAGATTGCGCCACTGCATTCCAGCCTGGGCAACAGAGCAAGATTCTGTCTCAAGAAAAAAATAAGAAACTCTACCAACTTATTAATTCTGCTGTTGTGATTCTTTTCCATGTGTTTACATTAATGAGTCAGCTTTAAAAAACATGCCACAAGAAAAGTAGGCCAGGCACAGTGGCTCACACCTGTAATCCCAACACTTTGGGAGGCTGAGGTGGGTGGACCTCCTGAGGTCAGGAGTTCAAGACCAGCGTGGCCAACATGGTGAAACCCCATCTCTACTAAAAATACAAAAATTAGCTGAGCATGGTGGTGGGCGCCTGTAATCCCAGCTACTCAGGCGACTGAGGCAGGAGAATCACTTGAACCCAGAAGGTGGAGGTTGCAGTGAGCTGAGATTACTCTATTACACTCCAGCTTGGGAGACAAGAGCGAGACTCTGTGTAAAAAAAAAAAAAAAAAAGCCACAAGTAAATATGCATTTTCTCTCACTAACTGCTATATCTAGTGCATAGCGATATCATAAACATCATGTATGTGCGAGAAATGTGTATTGAGGTTCTCCCGTTCCAGCCTTTAACCCTTGGTAATCCAAAAATATAAGAATAGTTCGTAAGGATCCAAGGCATCCTCCTCCCCTGGCCTAAGACACACACCTTGAGGAATTTGGTGATGATGTCCATGTCTTTATGATCATCGCCTTTCCCTAAGGACTCTCCCAGCGCCTGAAGAAAAACAAACAATACTTCTGTTCATTAATACAAAGCAACAACTACACATATATATTACCAACACCAGTCTAAACACGGCTGTTGGTCACACATGCTGTTCAATTTTTACTTAAAAACCTGATGGAATTTCTAGATAAGAAATCAAAACCAAAAAACATGGATTTGCCACTTAAACTTGGAGAGCATGTTATCTTTTATGAAAAGTCAAGAGGTGGTAATGAATGTGAGATTTCTTTTCGGGTGGGGGAACAAAAATGTTCTAAAATTAGATTGTGATGATGATTGCACCACCATGTGAATATACTAAAAACCACTGATTTGTATATGTTACATTGGTCAATTGTATGGTATGTCAATATCTCAATAAAGCTGTTTTTTAAAAATAAATAAATAAATACACTAATGGGGGGAAAAGCACACAACTGGTTGCCCATACCAATTATTTTAGTAAAATTTAGGGACCATAGACAGGTATTGGAGGAAGGAGGGGATTAAAATGACATCTTCCTCAACTATGATCTCATTCAGAGGGACAGCTACACGTGCAAGAGCCAGGAATTAAAGGAAACATAAAAATAACAGTTTATGTTTCCTTAAGCATTAAGAACTTTAACCCATATTTATTTTACATGTTAGATACTTACATGATACAAAATTGCTTTTTCATTAAGATTATACATTAACACTCCACAAGCAGCACTGTGGCAAAAATTAGACAGCAAGATATTGCCAAGCGTTAGCAGGGCTTGAAAGACACGAGGGCCTCACACTGCTGAGTGTAGACTAGGACAGCCATTCCAGAGAGCAACTTGGCAGTACTTAGACAAGTTAAATATACATATATAAATCCCACAATCCCATTTTGTTAGGCCATCATGGTTATGCACAAGACTGTTCATCAGAAAGCTGTCTGTGGTAGGAGGGAGCTGGGAACAATCTAGCTGTTCATCATTACAGGAGAACAAAAAGTCAAATGCAGTGAATGGCATAACACATGGAATCCTATGTAGCAATTAAAAGCAAAGGATTCAATGTACATACAGCATCAAGGATGGCTCTTAAAAACATAGCGCTAAATGAAAAAAAGACAAGTAAAAAACAGAATAAAGAATGTCACAGCATAACATCATTTCTGTAAATCAAAAATACATGCTCACAAAACACTGCAGGTCACAAGAGCAGCAACAAACAGAAGGATGTGCATCCAACATATTAGAATGGGTTCCTTTTGAAGGCAGGAAGTAGGGGAATGTGAGTGGAGGATGAGAAAAAGGGGAGTAAATAAATAAAAGCAGGGAGTAAATAAACAAAGACCAAAGATGACAGTGTGCTCTGCACTCAACAATCTGCCCGACTCAGCCATCTGCTCCACAGGAAAGAAGGGTGCCAGCTATGTGCTGGGCTTGGTATAGAGATTACCTCTAACTCTTCAATTGTGGTATTTTCCTCATGAACTTTCAGATCATTCTGTGTGTCTTCCTCTCCAGGCTCCTGACCACCGACGATTTCATTGAGGTACTGCTGATCAATCTTGTCCAAGGCTGCTTTCAGATCATTCCTCAATCCCTAAGAAAAGTAAAATAGGAAGAACAACTGTTACAAAATTTCACTGTTGTTTCACCTTTGATTTTTCATTAATAACTGCAAGTATTTTTCCCCCCACAAGAAGTTAACAGTTCAGCAAAAGCAGGAACTCAAATGACATCAATTTACCACACAAGTATCATTACTGTTCATTTAAAGTTAATTCTTATGGACATATTTAAATTAAAACAATGCATGAACAATGGCCAGTCTGCTGGTCAGAAAAAAAATACACGTGAGTGACGAATCCAAATAAGAATCTTCATAAATGCTGTAATTTTCTAATGAGGCTTAGTGAAAGTGGCAGGTCTCCATTAGAGTCCCCAAGCCATTTGCCCAGCTCATTTACAATGTCTAACCTCAACTACCGTGAACTCCCAAAACATTCAGAAATGTCGGTGTAATAAAATTGGTGCCTCATCTATATCCCAGGTTCTCAGCTATGTTTCTAGCAAACCAGCAAATCCACATTTTATGCACGTATGGTTCATGACCATTTAATGAAAAATGGAAGCCTCATCTTCCTAAAAATGAATGAGAATCAGCTGCAAGGTTTAAGAGCCAAGGAAACATGGCCGTGAGGCGGCTATAGGGTAATGGTTGAGAGTGAAGGCTATCTGGGTTCAAATCCTTGCCACATACTATTAAATAGCTCTTCAACAGTTTGCTTAACCCCTGTATGCCTCAGTAGCCTCACCTACAGAATAGGAGTAACGACACCATCTACTATGTAGGGCTGCCATGAGGATGCTATTTTTTATTTCAGTGAACAGTTACTATGTGATGAGGCTGTTCCAGAACCTCGCAAACATCAACTCAAATAAGTAAACTAAGAAATGGACGATGTGCTTTTAACAGTTACTGGAGCACAGTGCACATTCAACCAATGTTAACTCCTAACGTTCTTACACGGAAAGCATCTGATCATTGTCTACTGTCCCTTCATAAACACAGAAGAGAAACATTCAACTCAAAACACTTAAAATTTCTCAAGCACTGACTGATCACCTGCTGTGTATAAAGTATGACGCCAGGCGTTCCCAGAGGTCACCTCGTTGAACTCTCAGTGCATCCCGGTGAGCCAAGTATCACTGCCTCTGTTTTACCAATGAGGATTCCAAGGCTCAAACAGATTAAAAGACTTGCCAACGGTCACATAATTGATGATTATAATCCAGGAATGGAATCCAGACCTTGTGCTCCTGTGCTTTCTCCTCAAAACCTCTAGATGCACGGCACAAGACTTGGCATACAAAGGTAAAATAGCCTTTGCCCACCAGGAAGAAATAAATATGCACATAACTCTAATAATAGTAAAAAAACAGTAAGTACCCTAACAAAGGTTTACTCATAGGCGCATGGAGAAGGAAACAATTAATTCTGACTGGGATCAAAAATAGAAAAGATGTGGTCATTGAATTGCATGTGAAAGTATAAAAACAAGATTTCAACCAGAGCATACAAGACAGAAACACAGCAAGCAAAGGAAAAATGATCATTACAGACACGGAGGACTGAAGGCAACTGCTAGTGTTGTGGGGCTGGAATGGCAATGCTGGGAAGTGAAGCAGGAAAGTGGTTTGGCAACGAAGAAAGCAGTGAGACAGCCCAGGCTAGCAGAGAGGGAGCAGGTCGGGGAGCGGGCCTGGCCAGCCCCAGCTATTCCCGCCATTCAACTGAGATGCCAGGAAAGGGGCAAGATATCAGCTTAGAAGACCAGTCCAGGAGAGGCCTCAGATGACTTCAGTCACAGCCTTCATCTCCCTGCAATCACAAGAAAGACCTCAAGCAAGATACTGCCCAATCCAGCCCAATCAAACCACAGAACTGGTAATTAAGACAATAAAAAATTATCTTAAGCTATCAGGTTTCAGGGTGGCTTGTTAGTCACCAAAAACAGATTCTGTAATAATAAATTCTTTACAATAAACAAACACTAGAAAGTTTTGGAGTAGTCTGTTACATAGTCATAGATAACCACACCTGTTTCTCAATAATTCAGAAAGCAAGTAGATAAAAAGTTAGCAAGGCCACAGAAGATCTGCAGAACACTATCATCATTGGCATTTGTAGAACTGTATCATGAAAGCAAAACAATACTCTTTTCAAGAGCCTGTGGAATAAACCATATGCTAAGCCGTAAAACAACATCAGAGCCTTAAATGTAAAAGCAAAAACTATAATACTAAGCTTCTAGAAGAAAATAAAGAATATCTATTTGAAACCTTGGGATAGGCAAAGATTTCTTAAGCAGGACACAAAAAGCAATGACCATAAAAGGAAAAATCAATAAATTGGACTTCATCAAAATAAAAAACTTCTGGGCCGGGCACTTTGGGAGGCCAAGGCGGGAGGATCCCTTGAGTCCAGGAGTTCAAGATCAGCCTGGGCAACATGAGGAGGCCCCACCTCTATAAAAGTTAAAAAATCAGCCGGGCTTAGTGGCGCACACCTGTGGTCTCAGGTACTTGGAAGGCTGAGGTGGGAGATCGCTTAAGTCCAGGAGCTAGAGGCTGCAATGAGCCATGACCATGCTGAACTCCAGCCTGGGTGAGAGTGAGACCCTGACTCAAAAAGCATGTGTGCGTATACACACACACACACACACACACACACACACACACCCTTCTGTTCAGCAAAAGATTCAATTAAGAGAACAGGTAAGCCATAAACTACAAAAAACTATAGTCACGAAAAATATTTGTATATCTGACAAAGAACTTCTATCCAGAATATATAAAGAATTCCTATAATCCATTAACAAAAAGCATGTGTGTGTATACACACACACACACACACACACACACACACCCCCTTCTGTTCAGCAAAAGATTCAATTAAGAGAACAGGTAAGCCATAAACTACAAAAAACTAGTCATGAAAAATATTCGTGGCCGGGCGCGGTGGCTCAAGCCTGTAATCCCAGCACTTTGGGAGGCCGAGACGGGCGGATCACGAGGTCAGGAGATC